TAATATCTATATTAATAAAATATAAGATGATAAAGTCATAGAAGTTGTTTACATTGCTTGGTTAGAGATTAATATAAAACATTCATGAGGAGTATTTAAAGAAAACTAAATATTTATCAATAATAAATGGAAAGAAAAAGAGAATTAGGCAAAGTGAAAGTTGAATATTATGATACAAGAGTTGGAGTTTCATGGAAGAGTATCTTTTCATGGTGTTCTGAACAAGATAAATTAATTGTATATACTTCTTCTTGTAATAATAGAGAAAGGAAGCATGTTTCTAAGAATAAATTTAAAGATGTAATATTGAAGAATGATTAACTTAAATTATTCATTTGTTTCTCTTAATAATTCCATAGGTTGTTTTTTGAGTACAGGGATTAATGGTAATAGTGTAGATATTAAAGCAAATAATATTGCACTAATAACTACAATGATTAATAATAGAGTAGGGAATGTATATTCAACTGGAGTTTGAGTGAATAAAATAATTTGTAATGTCATAGTGAATCCAATAAGAGAACCAATAATCATACCCATGAGTGAAGCAGAGAAAATAACAACAAATGACTCAGCAAGATAAGTTCGTAATAATAAAAATCTTCCCACTCCAATTGCACGTAATACAGCAATTTCATGTTTTTGTTCCTCAATATTACTGTACATTGATGAAAGAATAGAAAAGAAACTTGTAGCAAGAGCAACAATAGTAACAAATACAAAATAAAATACCATAATATTTTGAATTGTTCTAATTCCACTTAATTCAGATGCAACAATAATTGCATCAAATTTAGAAGTAACTAATTGTTGTTTTACTTTATTAGCAGTATCTTCAGTAGAATCAATTAACTTTAAATAAATTCTAGTAATTGGTATTTCATCTATACTTGTAATATATCCATTTGTATATCTAATATATTCAGGAAGAGAAATTAAAAGGTCTTGCCAAGTTAATAATGGGGAATCACTAATACTGTATTTAGGAGTGCTTGATGCTTCTACTCCATAAGTAAATAATCCCATAACTCCAAGAACATTTGTTCTTTCTGGGTTTGTACTTGCACAAACTAAGAGACGTTTATCATCTGCATATGAAAGTTCTTTTATAGTAGTTCCCATAATAACTTTATAAAGTCCATTTGATGTGTACATAATTTTACCAATAGAACTATCACTCATATCTCCTACTGATTCAACATTCATTCGATGTTTTACTTTTAAGAACTTTTGGTTCATCACTTCAAACGTAGTAGGTAATATTGCAACATAATTTTCTCTCAAAACAACTCCTTGTCCAAGTGTTGACATACCAAAATATTTTGGATGAACTTGGTCAATTCCATCAAAATCAAGAGTAACTCCAAGAACTTCTTCTAAACTTTCTGCTTTTTCCATAACACTTCTCATTGCCTCATTGAGTTCTTGTGTAGTATTGAATTTAGATTTAAGACCAACAATATACATTTCTGTTCCTTTAGATTTAATAATTGTTTGTGAAAGTGTTCCTATTTCAGATGTAAAGGAAGAATAAAAAAAGAGAATAAATCCAAGAGAAAGAGCAAATAAGAGAGATGTTTTTTTATTTCTTGCTTTGTGTGAAAGTAAATTTTTAATTGTTAGTGATAATCCAGCTCTATCCCAAAAGTACAATAAGTACAATAAAAGTCTTTCTACCATTGGTATAATATTTATTATCAGTAATATTGAACCAACTAATAAACAGATGATTAGTAGAGAAAATATTGTAAACATAGTTGACAAATTTAAAGCAAGTATTGATCTTGGTAAGAGAATATATGTTGAAAATCCAAAACATGTTGTAAACAATCCTATAAATACAGTTAATGGAGAAAAATAAGAAGTATTACTTCGTTTGATTGTAATTTCTAATACTGTAGATGGTTTTGTTGTGAGTGTACGATGGAGAACAGAATATAATGGAAATATTATAGAAATAATAGGAACAAGGAATGTTAAGAAGACTGCAAAAAATATTCCTTTTATTGATGGTAAAAATGTGATAGGGATAGAAAAGATTGGTTTTGTAATAAGAGACACAAAAAAGAAGATAATCGTTGATAATATTGATCCAGTAATAAGAGATGGGATTGCATAAAATAATGAATTAACAAATAGTTGGAATGTTAAATTAAGACGTGTTGCTCCTATTGTTCGTTGAATTCTGATTGAGTGTTGTTGAGATTCTATATTAATTGTTAATAATGAATGAACTAAAAGTATAGATAATACTAACAATACTATAATTGCAATTTCAACAATCATCCCTAAAATTACATTAACATATTTATATTGACTTAATTCAGATAATACAGGTGTTGAGGATTGTAAGTCTTGATACCCCAATTTAAGTAATACATTAGAAAGATATGTTGTAACTTCATTTTGTAAGTTATTATAATCATTACTTAAATAATACTTTTCTCGTGGAGTTGGAACATTAACAATAATTTGGTCACAATATTCATTCATATTTAGTTTATCAAGATAGTCATTAAGATTAGTAAGATGTCTAGGAATATTACTTTGAATTGTTTTAATAAAGAAATCAAATTCTAATATTCCTTGTTCTTTACCTCCAAATTTACCTTCATCAGAATCATAACTTCCTTTAAGTTTTAATTTAAGTATGAAATGTCTTGGAGGTTCAGAGTTATTAAGGTATTGGTTTGATATAATATCATGGTATTCAATCAATAGAGGATAGACTGTTTCATTACTAATAGAAACATATAATTCATCTCCTTCTTTTAATTGTAATTGGTTGGATATTCTTCTTGGGAGATAAATTTCATTTTCTTTTAATGGCTCAAATCCCCATTTCTCTCCTAAACCAATTTGTTTCTCTTGTTTTGTCTTCAGAGCTATAAGACTACTAGATACGTGTCGAGATGATGAACAATACTTTGTGAAACATTCGTCCAATTCACAAGTCTCATGAATGTCAGAACTATTACCATAATATATCCAATCATTATCATTTTCTTCAAAATCAAAAGAGCAATTACCACTAAAGAATTTTGCTGAACCAATCCATCGTGGAGTAGCAGTATGAACAATTTTATTAATCTCAGTAAAATTAAGAACAATACCTCCACTATCTGAAGATGGTGTAATTATCATATCAATTTGACCATTCTTCTGTTCAGAAAGTCTTAAATAAACTAATGGTGTTGTTGATAGTATAGAAAGCAGAGTACAAGTAATGACAAATACAACAGAAACACTACAACAACCAATACAATAATTACAATAACTTGTTCTGACAAGTCGAATTGACCGAATAATATTAGTCTTAAAAAGTGTTAAGAAATGGCAGATTTTATGTGTCATAAAATAAAATAAATTGGTCAGATATAGTTTCATCAACAACAAATAAGTTGTATATTTTGTTTGGTAGTTCTGAGCTTTCTCCTGTCTTACTTATATTTCTTTTGTTTTTGATTTATATAATAACATTTTTCAAAATAAAAATAATGTTATCTATTTTTATTCATTTATACATTCCCACTTTGTTATTTATATACTTAAAAAGCTAAAAAAGAAAAATAAATAAAACAAAGTGTTGTGTAATGACTAAAGTACAAGTCAATCTCAAGTTTGCTACACGTCTAATTAATGAACATTGTATTACCATTCCAACTGTGTATGATAAATACAGTCATCGAGTTACAGGAATGTCTGCACAATGGGCAATGCCAACTGACAAACAACACATCACAGTATTATTTGGTGCATTTTCAAATACTGGAAAATTAATAGAAGAATCCACATATTATTGTATTAATGTACCAAGAACTCGATCAGAAAAAGATATTATATATTTTGGAATGAATCATGGAGATGTTATTGATAAATTTGCACATACTTCATTCCATCTAGAAAGTTTAGGGAATGAACAGTATCGTAATCTTTCTATTTGTGAGTCTATTGCTGTTCTACATATGAAAGTATCTAAGGTTGTGATGGTTGCAGATGAGTGTGAGTTGCAATCACGATTGATTTTTGGAGAAATTGTAGATGCATACGTCGACCCATGTGCATTTGATGGTGAGTTTTATCAGTTGAATAAAGTTAATGAAGAAGACAGACCATTACATTGTATTAATGAAACAGGATATTGCACAATAAAACCCATTTCCTAACTAAACTTAATACTCATTCATAAGTTATTAAATAAATCAAAAAGAGATGATAATAAAAGTTTAATTGATTTTGACTCTCTAAAAAATATATTCTTTTGTATAGAAAATGGATGATTAGAACTTCACTTCTTTGATGTTATTTCTTCACTAATAAAATAGTCATTTTTGAACTTATCGTATTTACACACCAAATCTTCATAATTTTTATTTAGTTTTAACATTTATCATTGTTGTACGTTTAATGAAACTATTTCAGAGAGTGTTTACATTATTTTATCAATAAGACACTTTTGTATATACTAATTATACATGAATTAATTTATGAAATACACACAAGTATTAAACAAATATTTAACATAATATAGTGAAGTGTATAACAATAATTATTTTACTTATTTCTATTATCTTGTCTGTTCTTTCATTTTTTATTCTTCTAGGCTAATAAATTATTAAATATTGATAAATTACTAAGAATGTTCAGTCTATACCAACTACACTCAATACTTTAACATACTCTAAAAAAACATTTCATTTCAATACAATAATTCATCATCTTTTGTTCATTCTCTACAAAAACAAAGAGTTGATAGAGCATTAAACAATCATGTGATTTCAATAAAATGAATCACAACTTTTATTCATTAAATTAATAATAATAGTCAACAATAAAATAACTTTCTTAACAATGAAAGAATTACTAAAAAAGTTAATGAAATGCTTATTCAAGTGATATTGAAAATAAATATTAAATGAAATACAAAAACAATCATTGAAATAAAGAATCTGCCGCACGCTCACAGTTTTTATGATTTTGTAAATAAGCTGAAATACAAACTTCCCTATTTGGAACTAAAGCAATCAAACGTTGAATATTCTCTTCATCTTGTTGAGTCCAAACATCATTATTTTCTTCTAAAACAAAAGAGTCTTGTTGTTGGGTAAGTCTCTCTGCTGCAAGTTCAAGATTTCCATCAGATAAAATTAAAGCACGAATAGCTGTTTCTCTTAAAAATCCCAATTCTACAAGTTTAGAGATATTTTCTTCATTAAGATGTTCAATGTCATTTTCCTCAATTCCTTCGAGATTATTCATTGGATTTAATTGTTTCATTGTAAGAGGTTGAATATGAAGTAAATTACATATCTCTGATTCAGTTTTTTTCATATCCCAATTATTCTTTTCTAAAACTATTAATGCCTGTTTTTCTTTGATTCCAGGAAATGAATGAACTATATGTTTAAGAAATTTTGAAAATGTTTTAATTACAATGAATTTATTAGAATTATTGTATAAATGTAAATGATCATTTACTATTATTAATTGTTGATTTTCAGTATTAACAATAAATGTTCTACAAAATTGTAAAGTGTTTTGTCTGATTTCACATTGTCCCATAATATTAATTACCTATCAAATGAATATAAATTAATTTCTCTATAAAATAAACAAACATAAAATACTCCTTGTTCAACAATATCAAAACACATGTCAGATATTCGATGTTTAGTCTTTCCAAGAGTTTTTAATCCATTAATAATTTGATTTGTTCCACTTTGAATAAACCTTTTTGTATCAATTGCATTCAAATTAATAATATTTCTTGAATTAACTCCAACCAATTGAACTCCTTTTCCAAGAGTAATATCAAAATAAGAATATGTTGAATATAATTGTGACAATGACTCTATATTATTATCTTGAAATTTGAAATAAGTATCAAAGAAATTATAAATACTTTCAAATTTATTGAGATTTAAAGGATGAATAGTATTATATTGAAGAGTGTTCACATTACTTTTAATTGTACAATTGAAATTATATCTTTCAAATAATTTATTATTAAATATTTCTAAGAAAGGAAATGTATGAATAAGAAAAAGAGAATCAACTTGTGGCAATGGATTACCTAAAAGACAAAGGTTTCTTAATGGAATATTTTTAAGACAACCCAAACACATATAATTTGTAATTTTATTATTTGATAAATCTAATAATGTAAGTTCTTTAAATCCATGACACATTTCATCAAAGAATGTTGTCCAATTAATGTTATTATTACTTAAATTTAATGATAAAAGATCAGGAATATCTTGATAATAATAATTTAATGCATCCTTTAAAAGAATTTCAAATGATTGAGTTGGTCTATATTCAAATTCTTTTAATTTGTTAATAAAAAATGAAAGGTCTAAAGAACGTGTTTTAATATTACAATATTTATATTTTATTTGTTCTAATACAAATTTATATTGTTGTTCTCTTGGTGGTTCTCGTTCAAATGTAACAACCATTTTACTTCCATTCCATAAAAAATCATTAAAATTCATTAACATTCTTCCTTGTTCTGTATTTTGAACTGTTACTTTAAATTTATAATTTCTTATTTGTTCAATATGAATAATACCAATATCTGGATTAAATTGATTAATAACTTGTTTTAATTCATCTGAAGTCCCATTAAATACTTGTACAAACAACGAAAATCCAATTTTATTCATTTGATATTATTTATCCATTTTTAGTTCTTAACCAAAAAACTCAAAAATTTAATTAATTGAGTTTTATAATAAAAAAAAAAATGAGAAGTTAAATGATTTTAGTTTTTGAATAGTAAAACTATAGTATTTTGACTTGTTTAAAAAGTAAATGCAGCGTCATCAGGAGATATAGAAACAGGTGGAATAATTTGTGCTGGATATTGTTCAATACCATTTTTACATAATAAAGATGATAATAAGTTATTATTTAATTGAATAACTAGAAAATTGAATTATTTAATTATCATAAACCAATTAATTGAAATTAAAAACAAACTAGTAGGAAATGTTTGTGAAATTCCATAAAGTTGTTCAGTATATTCAGACTTACTAATTTGACATAATAAATAACTACGTAATAATTGAAAATATTCTTGACTTCTTTCTCCCATTGTTCCTTGAATTTCTTGAATAGCAATTTCCCAACTTGCCATCATAGAAAAATAGAAATTGAAATAATCATTTCAAGTTTATGTCTTTATACAAAACTTTTAACAAAATTATCACTTTTATTATCTCAATCTTTTTTCTTTAATTTATATTTTAACCTTTATTACTTTTGAAATAAAAAGATAAGAATGAAAAGTTTATCAAAGAAAAAACGAGTAAAAACCACAATAGAACCATTTTCTTAGAAGAGTCCAATCTTGGTAGCAACTTCCATAGCTTCTACATCTGGTGCAAGTCTAACGAAAGCTTTCTTAAGACCATCAAGTCTAACAAGGGTATTTACTTTAATAACTTTAACTCCATATCTCTTTTCAACAGCTTTCTTAATCATAGTCTTATTAGCTTTTTGTTCACAAAGGAAAACAAGAGTGTTGTGGTCTTCGATTTTCTTAAGAGCAGTTTCTGTAGCGAGTGGGAATTTAATAATGGAAAATTCGTCCATTTTATTTCTATTAGCTTTAAGTGATCTTGGATATTTTGGTGCTTTTGCAGCATTCTTTGTAGCTGGTCTATGGAAAGCAGTTGTATATCTCTTGGTTCCGGCCATTGATTCACCACTTAACCTATACAGTTCTAGTTCTATTATTTCTCAGGGTTTGATTTTATTTCTTATTATTTTTTCTTATATCAAATAGTTCTTTTTTTCGTCTCTTTTTAAATAAACAAAATTCTGTTATTCTTTTCCAATTCTAAGTATTTACTTCTATTCTTCTTCATTTTTT